CTCCTCCTCCTCCTCCTCCACCTCTCCCTCCTTCTCCTCCTCCTCCTCCTTCCTTCTCTAAATCGAGCTAACTTCCCCTCTTCTTTTGGTATCGATTTGGTTTCGTTCAATGCACTCCTCTTTGGTTGTTTCGCGTTCAAACGGTCAACTCTCGATCGCTCTACGATTAGGAACAAGAATCGATTTATTGCATTTTGGTTTTTAACATCGTTTCACGATTTGGCCCACGATATGCATCTCTTCTGCGTTTATCTTGGAAAATAAGAGTAATATTTTAAAATTATTACTTTTGCGCTCTTAAGGGGGCAACTGAATTAACATCTGTTCAATTTTTGATTTTTTTTATACACATTTGATTCAATTGCAATAATCATAAAAAAAGAGATAAATTTGTAAATACTGTTCATTACTTCGTACTCGAACATTTCTGCAGTTATAAATTTAGCAAAAATATTTGTTAAACAAAATTATAATTGATCTAAAAGTTTTGTTAACACTGAGAACGCTTGAAACAAAAAAGATGATAAAACTTTTTGCCGCCCGGTTAGTTTAAAAGTCTCTCGATAAAAATCCAAACAAAATTCAAATTTCGCCAATTTTACAAGCTTTAAATCTCTCGTTTTAATTCTTTTTATCGTGGTACCGAATTGCGAAACGATCCTTCTCCACTCTCTCGTTGTGTTCTTTTTTTTTTTTTTTTTTTGATCGAACTTATTCAAATTCAAAAAAATGAAAACAAGAAGAGAAATACATAAGAGAAGGGAGAAATATCGTCGAATGATAAATAGAGCGGTACGTTAATCCGAGCCAGATAGAATTTCTGTTCGGGATCGAGCATAAGAATCAACGATACCGAGTGTAACGTTGATGTAACGTGAGCGGAAGTTCGACTTGGCAAAAATCGGTAGCCTTGAGAATCAAGCTTTGACGAATAATGAAAGAAGAATACTCGACGAAGAATTAAGTTTTAAGATTATGATAGATCGTGAAAATTTTTCATTTTAAAATTGTAAAATCAAAAAATCACGAATACAAAGATATCTATCTTCACTCTATGAGTGATATGTTTAATTGGGTATTAAGCATGAGATATGACGAATATGGAAAAAGTATATATAATTGACAACATTTTGCTTTTTGCTTTTTATCTTTGATATAGTGAAACGATATTATTTATCGTTAACAAAATTTTAATATGTTATTAGGGTAAATATGATACAATATCTAGCTATTGTTGTTTTATATATTTGACACATTAAAAAGAAATATAGGAAATAATAAAGGTAAAAAGAAAAAATCAAATAATGTAAATAAAGTCAAGAAAGTTTGTAATATGATTCAAATAAATTAAATTATGAATTAAAATAATTATATAAATATCGACGAATAAAGTATTTAAATAAAAATGATCGAATGACAATCTAATAACAGTTATATAGTTAATAATTTTGCGACTGGATATATTAACTGAATGTCCTTCTGAAAGATCCTTTGAAAGTGTGTTCAAAGTTGCAGAAGACTAAAATACGTGCATAAACCGAGAATAAACCAGCGAGTCTTGAAGGAGAACGAGAGTAAAAGCGAACGAAAATGAAAAGTTGAAACACGAAACCGGCGAGATCAAAAGAACCAGCGACCGAGTGGCTACGATATTTCACGCTTTTTACGTGTTCGAAAGTCGACGAAGAAAATCGAGAGTCCCAGATCGAATTCCAAAAAATTTATACGAGAAATCTGCATTTTCACTAGGAAACGCTCTTTCAAGAATACTTTTAACTACAAAAAGATGATTAATATCTATTACAATCAATTTGGATTACTTTTACATCTAACCTAACCTTAAATTATTATTTGTGAAATGACTCAAATATTATTATTATAATATCAAATATATCTTCTTAATCTCTTGTAATATAATTCTAATAATTTTTTTGATTGAATTACGAAGAATCAATTATCGAGATATAATTCAAAATACGTGAACCATAATCTCTATCCAAGAAAATTTTCTCGATATCCTCTAGACTAATGAAAAGAAGAATCTATACAAGAACATCATTTATCCGAATCCATAAGAAAACAGACAATTCGCACAATTCGATTCGTATAATTGGATTACATACAGAAATACATCTATTTTCTCTATTACTATTAATTTCATCCAAATTATGAAAAGTTTTTGATCTCATTATCCCCAAGCATAAATAATAGATACAAAATTCGAACACCGTTAAAATCACAAAGGATTAAATAATAAAAGTTCAGACAAATAGATCCAATAATAGAAGTTTAACGATCAAGTGACTGGCGATCAATAGACAAAGCTCGATCAATGTCACTGGTTAAAATCTCGTCGAGACAAATGCTGTTTCACTGTTACCGGGATTCCTCAAGTTGATGTTACAAACGGCGACCTTGACCACAGCATGTAGGCAGCAAAATGCGATTGCCTTGGCTGCGCAACGGTGACAATCGCCGGCGGTGTAGAAACAATGCTTACGTAACGTGCGCGGCCAATTATGCAAAATGCAACGTATATCCACGTGCATGAAACGGCGATGCATCTTCTATTCTTCTTGCATCGCGTGTATCCGCTTGACGACTCTGCTTCGTTGCTGGATGATAATACTTGTCCGACCGCGAAACTTTAACCATTGTTATGTAAAGCTTTCTAACATGGGAAAGAGATGCGTGTTTAATTTTCATTAGCAAGGATTACCGTATTAGAAGCGTATTTTCGTCCTATCTCTTCTTATTTCTCGTTTATCGATCGATCTTCCGATTCTTCGATGATGAGAAAGATGAATGGAGAATGGGCCAGGAGAATATATATTTCTAATGGTGGTATCCGAAGTCGAGGTTGAAGTTCAAGGTTATCTACGAAGAGGCTACGTCAGACCTTGTCTACTGAGAAAGACGAATCGATATATACCGGGTGCTCCGTGAATAAAATAAGACAGTAATCCGACTGGGATGTACAGAGAAGGCTTGATTTTCTCGCTTAATTCGAAATAAAGATTCTAATAATTGCGGCATTAAAGTTGTATACGTATATTTTTAACCATAAATTATTAAAAATTTAATAAATTTTGACGATTAACGTAACGATTATTACGATAGATTGTTAAAATAAATGTAACGAAATCTTTGAAATATAGTTCTTTAATAAAGAATCGACATTTCAAAATAGATTTCAGAATTTTTAAAAAAGTATTAGCAGCTCGAGCATCGATATAATCTTATCGATTTATTTTTTTAAATTAAAAGAAAGCCGTGCACAAACGAAACAAATGATTTATTTATTACAGAGAGACTGAATTCAATATGTTATTGTCATTTGCAGCTTGAAAGTTAATCGATAATCCACGCTTCACCCGTTATCCATTTCTCACGTGTTGGATATAAAAGCTATTCTTCGAGTGGCCTCGTCGAATCACCAGACACGACGTAGACTGAATTTAGCAAATCATTTAGCGATTCGTAAAGCCGCCAAACACTTCTATTTGTACTTCTAATATTTCGAATATTAAATAAAATTATATTTACATATGTTTTGTAAATAATTTCAGATATCACTTGATTTGAAAAAAAAAAAAAAATATTGGAAGAAACTGGCGAAAATAAGAAAAATAAAGAAAAACATTTCAAGTATCAGGAAAATTAAATAAATCAAGAGAAAGCAAATGATAAGAAAGATCGATACACACATCGGAACCACGAACTTACATATGTGAAATCTACATTTGTAAACGAAAGGTGGACATAAACTTGTTTACAAGAGACGACGGAACAGGAACTTAATGCGTGCACTGTATTTGAACACTGGCAAAAAGTTGTCCGCTGCAATGGTGTGTAGTCACAGTGCAGATCAACCAAGACCTTAATACTGCGTAGAAGATTCAAGGGAGGGAGAAGGGTAAGCTTAAACTGCGCACTTTCACAGTTAGGGGACGATGATTCACGAATACACCAGCCAATGCACCCATGAATAAATATGCAAACATAATAAGTTTGTTGAAATTTCATTTCATAACCTGTCTCCTATCTTTGACGATATAAAGCACGTTTCGCATAAAAAAAAATTTATTATGCACCACGCATGTTTCTGTGAACACGCTGATAGCGTTTTGACAGAATAGAATGGAAACAGTATGAAATACAAGGAATATAGTTCGATAATTCAACAAATATATCAATAGAGGCAAAATACGTCTTACCGTGAATTTTTTATAACACGCTTAAAACGATCAAAAAATTCGCCGAATTTCGAACGATTGTGGCCAAAGATCGTTTGTTTGGCACGTGCGTTCCGACGGACATAATAGTCGTAACATATCACTACAAAAGTCACGTTTAATTACGACACACTACGACAATATACGATCGATAATGTGGCATCTTTTAGAGACATTTTTAGCATTGGACGTTCGATCTTTGGCACTGAAAAGAAAATGCAAAACATCCGTAACGTCATATAATAAACTTCATTTTGGATTGAAATTATTCTATGAAAACTGAAAAAAATTATTCTATGAATGATGAAAAATATCTTGCGCGGAAAAAACTCGGAAAATATTATCTATTTAAATTAACCACCAATCACAATATCCATCGATAGATATTAGCATGGAACTGTGGACACAACCATCAACAAATCAAATAGAAAAAAAATTTATTCTCACGACCGTTCTTCGTACATCCGAGGTCACTTTTTATCAACATATTTTAAAATGACAACTATCTGCGGAGAAGAATCACAAACACGACATACACGACATACCTTTTTTACGAATTCTCCAAGGTCGCTTTATATTGTTGCTGCAAAAAGAAACGAATACAACTAGGCCGCAATGACACGCTCTAATAGAAACATTACATTTTTTCGTATATCATAAATGAAATGAAGAATTAGACATAGCTATTTACGTATATTAGATATACAATAAATTTCTTATTTGATTGTCACATTTTAATTTTAATCGCGTATCGAAAAAAAATAAACGAATTTTTTCGTTCTCGCGAATATAAACTTCACTGTTGCACTCCTTTATATACAGACACACAGTCAAATTTTCCACTGGGAAAAGAACATAACGATGATTCGTTCTCTTCCCAACATTTGGAATTCCAAAAGCAATCGTTTCGCCATAGCGCGCGTGAACAGAATACTATTCAAATTTGATCACTGCATCGCTTGTTCGGAAGAATAGCGCGACGAGAAGACGAGCGCGTTTCACAAAAAACGCGACCACAAACTTCACAATACGAATTTTTCACGGAGAAGACGAACACAATTGTTGCATCTTCTTTGCAAACGTGGAAATTTCCTATCTTCCGTTTCGATTTACTTTTTCCATCGTATCATACTACACATATGCCGCGTGATATGCTTCGAACTTCCTGGAAATAAATAAGTCGGACTCGGTCCGAGACTCGACCTAACGAATCATATAGACACAATGCGCGCGACAAACGCACATTTTTCTCCGCATCCAGAAGCGTTGCACACGTGCCGCGAATAGAGAAGCACGCGGCCAACACTCAACACGACCGAATGACCCGCGATGCGAATAAATTTCGCAAGATAGAATGAGAAAGAACACAACGAGAAAAGGAGAAAGAAGGAGAATGGCGAGAGTAAAGAATGTACATAGTTACAATAAACGATATCTCTTCGCGCGTGTCGATCCGACTCACCGACTGACTGACTCAATGACTGACTGACTGACTGACTGACTCGGAGATGCACGGCGCTAAAGGCAACTGAGTGCCAGCCGGCCGGTCTGGCTCGTTGCATGTGAGCGTGCAGCCGGCAGGCAAGCGAGGTGGGGACAGGGAGGATGGAGGAAGGGTTCAAAAGGAGGGAGAGCCACAAGAGAGGCAAGAGAGGGACGATAGAGGATCAAGAGGAGGTGAAGGACGAGGAGAAGGCGATAGAGGACGAAAAGGTGGTGGCAGGCTGCGGGATGAGGAAGGGAGGATACTGAAGAAGGAAGGAGTACAAGCGAGTCACGCCTGACAAGTAACGTTCCGTCTCTACTTGCACTTTTCTTCATAGGAATGTGAACGTGAAACGAGATGATTTCTAATTACAAAACGATTATAATTTCTAATCGAACATGTGTATAATTCGAATAATTTCTAATCATATCATTGAAAATAATTTTTTGCATATAATATCTTCAATCATCTTCTATCGACAATTACAAAATATAGGTCAGCGATTCATTCGCGGAAGAAAGGAACGATAAAAACCGTATACCGAAAAGTATCCTCGAACTTTTCATTCTATCCGTTCAATTTATGTAAAACGAATGCGATCAACGTGATCTATGCGACGATACATAATCGATAATAAAAATGTGTAATACTTGATGATAGAAATGTAACCTTACCGCTCGAGGTCTCCAAGCGAGTTTGATGCGATGCGACTGTGGTGGGGAGAGGGAGGAGATGTTAGAACGAGAGAGGAAAGAACGATGAACACGAATAAGAGCAAAAAGGAGAAGAAAAGGGACAGAAAGACGCAGATAGAGCTTGCGCCGTCACTGTCGAGCTTAGGAGTCAAGTTCTAGTGCACGGCCGAAACGGGAGAATCGACCTCCCCTCTTCCTCACTCTCCGCCGTCACGAGCTGGCTCGTCCAATGGCACAACAGTGGGGGAAATCGTCGAAAGCAAAGGGGAAGGGAGCGTTTGCAATGTCGAGCGTGCGCGACGAGCCTTGCATGAGATTTCTACCAGGTGACCGAAATATACACCTCCGATACCGACATGTAACAACGAATCTGATAAGGGAAATAATTCCCTGTGACTGGGAACCTCTAACGAAGATTTACGTTATGCCTGTAACTAGATGCTGAATCAGATACGCTTTACGTTTTCGTAAAGACGTGTTTTAAAACACATTTCAAAGAGGAGTCGCTGTGCCGCGAGAGGTTATTTTTAGCAGCACGCCGATGAAACAAACGCGAATCAGTACATACCAAGGAATCGCATCGAAACGATTATAATTAACGATCAGCCGGTGGTTCTCTATCGGCATGGCACGTTCGATACCACGTTTAAATTAACAACACCAGCCAGATTGCTGATGGAGATAAGCGGGACGGTCACGAACGATCGTTTCCCTTTTATATATCTCATGTCGATAAAACTTGTTCACGACAGGCCAATAGCAGTGCACGAAGCACACAAATACGTGACCAATAATGCAAACAATATCAATTTCACGCGAAAAATTGACATTCTCGTCTACCGATAACAAGATTCGCTCTCTTTTTAACTTGTTTATATTGGCAGTCTCCGTTTTCTTTGTTAATCGTATACTGTTCGAAAGAAAAAAAATATCCTTGCAGCGGCCTTTCGTGGAACGGAACACGTCCACAAGTAGTCTGCCGCACCTGTTCCAATACTTTTTCAATTCGTCTCAACATACTAGACACACCCGTTTCCTTGTCCTCACAACAACTAAGCTCGCTTTTTTTGAAGGAAGTTCGATCGAAGACGAGTCTTTTTTCCTTTTTTTTTTTTTTTTGCATTCTTCTCGAAACTGTTTGGCCCATATACCAGTTAACCGACACCCTATGTAAACTCACGGTAATCAACCGTATACATATATACGTGGTCGAGTATCGCGTACATATATATATACATGTATACCGATAGCGTCGCGTGCTGCGTCGTTGCTGCAACTTGTGCGCGCTTGTATATATATGCATGTGTGTATAAGCACGTGCAAGAGCGTCGATCGTGTAAGTGGTCGTCAAGGTTAGCCACCTACTCGCTATCGCGGGACTCGTGCACACTTTCTGCCGATGCATTTGAGTCGTCTTGCCAGCTTTAAAGTTTATTATGCGCTCGTCACGGAGAAAATCGAGGAAACGAATCCCCGAGCGATGGTTCAGTCTTCTCCCGTTCCATTCTGCGACTTCGCGCATGTTTTATGGCGCGTTTCGTGCATCCACCACGGTTGTGCAACACGCGCCACCGCATATTCTTTATGAGTGGTTTCTTCAATTTTTTATATTTTAAAAATAGTTGTTTACGATACTTCTCGACTGGAATCGATAAAATATGTTTCAAAGAACGATTCTATTACTTATTACTTATTAAAGCAGAGGTTGTTAACTTTAATAAAATAATGGCTTTTTTAATGAGTAGTTTTACAGTTTCCACGATTTATGTTATTTTCTATTCCAATGTGCTAATATTTTAATTATCGATGGAAAATTTTTACGAATAATACCGAATAAAGAAAAGTACTTTGATACACTATGATATAAAAGCAATAATATCCTTGCTTGTTTTTGCGAACAGGTGAATAGAACGAGAAAAGGTTAACAGGACTCGCCAATATTCCGTTTACATTCTTCGTCGAAACTGGTTTCTCCCTCGTTTGGTCGTCAGGGATACTGTATGGTCCTTTGGACCCTGGAAAGGTTGCCAAACACGCGAGAAAAATCAACGAAATTAATTCATCTTCTTATCTAGAAAGAAATTTCGCCTTTAAATTAATCTAAATTTAATTTAAATTTCTTATACAATATTAATTTCGCTCTAAAAACAATGTTCAAACAATCGTGAATCAAAATTGCAATACGAACGATGGGTTGCAATTCGAGAACCACTAGCACTATCAAAAAAACTTCACGAATGGAGGAACGTTTAACGTGCTCATTCGATTATGACGGAAGCATAATTTGAATGCGAAGGAAGTTGAAGCGAGATAGAAAAAAAAAAGAAAGAGAAGAAAAAAAGAATCGAGAGAAAGAAGAGAGAAAAAGAAAAAAAGTCTGATGCAGAAGAAAGCAACGGCGGTGCAGCTGTTGGTACGGTTGCACAATGCAAAAATTCGGGTTCTAATTCTAAAGCGAATACCAATCAACCCCGGCATTGTTCACCCATGAAAGCTCGCAATTTTTCGGGGTTAATCGTTCTTTGAAACTTAATAAGCGGGCAACACCGTTGGATGTCGTTCTTCTGGAAAAAAAAAAATATCCCTAGTGAAGACTGGACACACATCCGAAATAAAAAAAAAATCACCGAAAGGATGTCGAAAAAACATTTGAAAACTTTTAACATCTGAACACGCCACAACCGGTCAACAATCCTAGTGGTAAATTGGCTATTGTGAATTCGTTTTGTGTCGTCAAAGAGTCTCGAACAAGTGAAGGAATATTTATTTTGAGAGAGATCGAATTATAAGTTGACTTCTGTAATTAATTTCTTTTATTTTCGTAAATTTCTGATGGGATCTTTGTAAAAATTTTCTCGAAAGAAGAAATCACTTTGAATAATAGTAATCGGGAATATAAATAGAATGATTGGCAATATAAATGATTTTAAGATTTTTCATTCGATATTCGAGAAGTTTATAAGGTGAATATTAAAAAAATTTAAAATATGTAGAGAATTCGTTTAAATCGAAAATAAGATACCAAAATTGAATTCTATCTACTAGGAAAAGAGATTTCGTAATGGAGTAGCGATTCCACTTTGAAAGCTTCGTGCGTTTCCGTTTGTTCTCGAATTAACAATTGGAATGCTGCGATTACGATTGTATTATGAAATTGTATGGGATTCCTATGATCTTACGTCATTTCATTTGACGCATTTTACATTGGCATTAGATCAAATTGTTAAATCAAAAAGCGCTTTAAATATTTTCCTTATTTCGCATAAAAAAAAAATATTAATAAATTAAAATACTACAATAACTTTATTACTTTTATTAACTTCAACAAAAATTTTATACGAAAATTTCCAATATTAAAATCACGATTCTACTCTCGATACATTATATCAAAAACCTTCAGAACGAAATCGCTTTAACACCTCTGAACTTCATGCCAATTATCACCATCCCAAAAGTTCCATCCATCAAAAACGATCCATTAAAAAAACCGGTCAATGTTTGGTCTCGAGCGTGCATCGGTCACACACGAGGCTTGTATACTATTCACTTATACTATACAATCTAGCTATAAATAATGCTCGTTCATGAGGAACGAGAGGAAGGATGATCAATCAGGTGTGGGTGGAAGGGATTAGAAACAAGTTGCCAGAAAGACAGAGAGACGGAGAGAGTTATGCAGAAAGAGAGATAGAATAGTCAAGGACAACGTACGTGGCCACCGCATTGCGACGGAAGAATCAACCACACGCTCCTGAAATTCTCTCTTCGCTCGTGTCGACCAAGAAACGACACTGGTTCGTGTTCATAGACGATTCGTATAAATAGTTCGTTCACCCGGTTGAGACCGATCCAGAAATTGTGTACGGTAAACGTTGGATAAGTGCCCGAAAATTGGGATCCAAATCGAGCACTTATGGAGTAATAGAATTTCATTTCATGATGTGGAACAACGAGAGCTTTGAATTCTCTTTATCGAAAAGGTGAATGAAAGAGGTGAGAAGATTGAAAATCGAAATAAATATCGATAAGTTTCACGAGATCAATATCGATCAAATCAGTTTTTTAATAGGAATAATTAACACGCTTATATTGGATTATTTATATTGGAATAGCTTGGGAACTTATCCAATATTTCACGTATTCGGGCGAACGAGATAGGCCAATTTTTAAGACACCGGAAGTGGATAGTGTACTTAACAAAAAGAGCGTTCACGAACATTTGGCATATGGCAGGGCGCTTATCAAAGCGAACGAGGAAGCGTCAATAAAACTGTTCTCGAGTCAATTCCTGTTGAGTTATGGCCGATTTAGCGTATTCATTGTGTGACGGATGCATGCTTCTTCTTGCATCAGTGCATGCTTTTCACTGTCCATCGCGAATAATTGTTTGAAATTATTGGAATCCTCGCCCTGCCTAATAAACGTACAACTTGTTCTTGTGGCACAGATATCAGATTCAAATACGACGTTATATAAATATAATTTTTCAAAATTAATTGTAAATGTAATCGATTGGATATTTTTATGAAAGATAAAATCCTGGAAGAACGGCAGTAAAAATACTGGTCGATAGAAAAAAGCTTGAT